CTAATCCTAGTTCAAACTATGAGCTTTTTAATTGCAACAACTTAAATATATGCTATTGGAGCTAGAATTACCATGGCTGCTGGCACCAGACTTGCCCTTCAATGGATCCTCGTTAAGGGATTTAGATTGTACTCATTCCAATTACCTGACTCATGGATCCTGGTATTGTTATTTATTGTCACTACCTCCCCATGTCAAGATTGGGTAATTTGCGTGCTTGCTGCCTTCCTTGGATGTGGTAGCCATTTCTCAGGCTCCCTCTCCGAAATCGAACTCTAATTCTCCATCACCCATCACCACCATAGTTGGCAGAAATTTGAATGATGCGTCACCAGCACAAAGGTGTTGCGATCCGTTGAGTTATCATGAATCATCAAAGCAACGGGCATAGCCTGTGTCAACCTTTATCTAATAAATGCATCCCTTCCAGAAGTTAGGGTTTGTTGCACGTATTAGCTCTAGATATACTATGGTTATCTGAGTTGTAGATACCATCAAACAAACTATAACTGATTTAATGAGCCATTCACAGTTTCACAGTCTGAATTAGTTCATACTTACACATGCATGGCTTAATCTTTGAGACAAGCATATGACTATTGGCAGGATCAACCAGGTAGCGTTCCTTCAGGATGTTGGCACCGCGTGGGCCTCGATGCATCGATTGAGCAACGGAGAGTGCCCGACGTGGGGCGCAAGGGTCGTGCATGTCGAGCACTTGAAATGCGCAGCATCGGACAAACGGGGGTCGAGAGCCCGCGCTCGCTAAACCTTTCACATCCGAGAGCACGATCGAATGTCGGTGCACCAATGCAGCCACGGAGGATTGGGTGGCACGCTTGGGACACCGGCCATGATTGACATCCGATCTGTGGCCCCTCGGGACACGAGACGGATGAGGGATGGCGAGACATCCGGTTTTCATCGATTCAGGTATGCAACACATGATCCCAATCGCACCCCTGGGTACGACGATCGCATGGGGGGAGATTGAAGAGGATGATGGGTTGACAGTTCGATGCATAGAGCATGGAGCCTACCCACATGCACAACCATAGCACCACTCATATGCCCATTGCGTACAAGTGGCAGCATCCACGCGTGTCGGTCCACAACCCACCCGATTGATTATTTGATGAGCGAGTGGAGGAAATGACGTGCGAGGCCATGCCACAACTGTTTGGCACGAGAAAAACATGAGCAAGGGCCACGAGACTGCCCCTGCCATCCGACAGGCAACAACAAAGTGACACCACCAATGCTTGGCCCACATGGGACTGCACGCGTGAGCTCCACTGACACCACCCCAGGGGGATGTTGCTCGATTTAGGGACTTGTTCCTGGGGTCTCAGGCAGCATCGACTGCATGCATAGCCTCATCGAGGCCTAGGTATTTTTGTGGTCGACGAGAAGGGATCGCGAGACCATCAAATACCGAGAGACCTGACTGGGCCAAGCTCGTAACCGCAGCTTTTGCTCGTACCACCCCAAGGAGCCGTTGCCCAATTCAGGGAGGTCTGAGGTCTAGGCCAGCATCCACCACGTGCATGGGCTCGAGCTCGGCTCCCCTTTTTCGCATGCACACCAACCGATCGAGGCCATAGGCACCTGCCGGTCACCGGAGCAAACAGTCACCAGACAAAACATCCGAAAGGCATGCATGCCCTATATTTCGCTCGAGGGATGTTGCCCTGGGTGTACGTAATGGGAGGCCCATCACGCACACCTACTCCCCCTCGTAGGGGGAGAGACGGTGCCGGACCATGACTCCTTAAAGAGCATTAAAGATTTTACAGATATGCTACCAGTAGACGCTAAAGTGTCTGAAACGGGGATACTTTTTACAAATAGGCATATCCCGCACCGAGGGTGACCAGGTTCCAATGGTGGTTGGGGCATGTGCCTCCACCAAGGGCTAACGCGTGTCGATGGTGGTTGATACGACTACCCGCACCAAGGGCCAGCGTGTGCCGATGGTGGTCGATACGACTACCCGTACCAAGGGCCAGCGTGTGTCGATGGTGGTTGAGGTAACCGCCCGCACCAGCTCGAGGCATGTGCCCACACTAAAGCTTGACATATGCCGATGGTGTTCGAGGCAACCACCCGCACCAAGGCCCGACATGTGTCGATGGTGTTCGACGCAACCGCTCGTACCAGGGGCCATCTTCTGCCAATGGTGGTCAAGGCAAGAGCCCGCACCAAGGGCCGCCTTGTGTCGATAGTGGTCGAGGCAACCGTCTGTACCAAGGCTTAGCACGTGCCGATGGTGTTCGAGGCAAGCGCCCGTACCAGGGGCCAGTATGTGTCGATGGTGTTTGATGCAACTGCCCGCACCAGGGGCCATCTTCTGCTGATGGTGGTCAAGGGAAGAGCCCGCACCAAGGGTCGGCTTGTGCCGATGGTGGTCGAGGTAATCGCCCGCACTAAGGCCCAGCACATGTTAATGGTGTTCAAGGCAACCGTCTGCACCAAGGGCCAGCATGTGCCGATGGTGTTTAACGCAATCACCCACACCAGAGGCCATCTTGTGCCGATGGTGGTCGAGGTAAGAGCCCGCACCAAGGATCGACTTATGTTGATGGTGCTCAAGGTAATCCTCCATACCAACGCCCAGTACGTGTTGATGGTGTTCAACGCAACTGCCCGCACTAGGGGCCATCTTGTGTCAATAGTGGTCGAGGCAATCACCCGCACCAAGGGTCGGCTTGTGTAGATGGTGGTCGAGGCAACCGCTTGCACCAGGGGCCATCTTCTACCGATTGTGGTCAAGGCAAAAGCCCGTACCAAGGGCCAGCTTGTGCCGATGGTGCTCGAGGCAACCGCTCGCACCAGGAGCCATCTTCTACTGATGGTGGTCGAGGCAACTGCCTGCACCAAGGCCCAGCATGTGCCGATGGTGTTTGATGTAACCGCCTACACCAGGAGCCATCTTGTATCGATGGTGGTCAAGGCAACTGCTTGCACCAAGGGTCGACTAGTGTCGATGGTATGGCCCAACACGTGCCGATGGTGTTCGAGGCAACCGCCCGCACCAGGGGCCATCTTTTACCGATGGTGGTTGAGGTAACCACCTACACCAAGGCCCAGCATGTGCTGATGGTGTTGGACGCAACCGCCCGCACCAGGGGCCATCTTGTGCCGATGGTGGTCGAGGCAACCGCTCGCAGTAAGGGTCGACATGTGCCGATGGTGTTCGAGGCAATCGCCTGTACCAAGGCTTGGCATGTGTCGATGGTGTTCGATGCAACTGTCCACACCAGGGGCCATTTTGTGTCGATGGTGGTCCAGGCAACCACCCGCACCAAGGGCCGGCATGTGTCGATGGTGATCGAGGCAACCGCCCGCACCAGGGCCTAGCTTATGCCGATGGTGGTCGAGGCAAGTGCCCGTACCAAAAGGCTTAAGGGACAAAATTTAGGGCCGAAAATCCTTCTAAAAAAATGTTAAAAAATCCTGAACCGTAAAAAGTTTCAAAAATCATGAAAAATAGAAAACGAGTCGTCTTGCCACAAAACTTCACATGAAGGCTTAAGGGACCATTGTATGAATTTACAAGCCATAAAAATGGCATTGGCATGGTAGAAATATGAAGATGTGCCTAAACCCACCTACCACCCGATCGATCCACAGCTTGCGCATCCCGTCTCTCTGGCCGACGTAGTGCTCGCCCGCTCATTTCATAGGTTGACTTAGGCATACGAAGTTTATTCTCAGTCTAAGATCAGACCGGACTAAAGGTTACGGTAGCAAAACCTGCAGTAGGATCGACAGCATGCAGAGGGGGCTGAGCCAATCCTCGGCTTGCGTATTCTACCTCTCTGGCCAGTTAAGCACCCGCACGCTCGTTTAATGGGTTGACTTAGGCATACGGAGTTCATTCCCAGTCTAAGCATATAGACCAAACTGAGGGTTGCGGTAGCAGGACTAGCAATAAAATTGGCAACACGTAGGGGGGATCAGGTCGATCCCCGACTTGAGCATTCTGCCTCTCCGACTGGTTGAGCACTCGTACGTTCGTTTCATGGGTTGGCTTAGGCATACGGAGTTCATTCCATGTCTAAGCCCCAGCCAGACCAAGGGTTGTGGTTGCAGGACCGGCAGTGGGATCGACAACACAAAGAGGGGATCGGGCTGATTCTCGGCTTGTATATTATGCCTCTCTGGTCGGTTCAGCACCCGTACGCTCGTTTCGTGGGTTGACTTAGGCATACGGAGTTCATTCCCAGTCTAAGCATACGAAGTTCATTCACAGTCTAAGATCAGACCGGTAGGAGGATCGACAGCAGCATGTAGAGGGGGATCGGGTCAATCCCAGCTTACGCATCCTGCCTCTCCGATCGGCTAAGTGCCCGTATGCTCGTTTAATGGGTTGACTTAGGCATACGGAGTTCATTCCCGGTCTAAGCCCCAACCAAATCGACAGACCCATAGCAGGATCGACAGCATGCAGAGGGGGACCAGGCCAATCTTTAACTTACGCAGTCTGGCTCTCTGGTCGGCTGAGCGCCCACACGTTCGTTTCATGGGTTGACTTAGGCATACGTAGTGCATTCCCAGTCTCGACCAACCAAGGGCTAGAGGTTATCGACGGCATTTGGGGCAACAATCGATGGGGACCAGTAACGGGATCCATGGTCGGCACGTGCATCCTGCCCCCAACGGTCAGTTTGGTACGAAAATAAAAATTCAAAACCGACTGGGGCGAGCAGAGTTTGTTCCCGATAGGGACCGGAGGATAGGGGGCCCCAGGTCATGCCTAACCCCGAAGGGGGGCGACGTGAAAAAAAGAAGGTCAGTGGGGGGAAAGGATGAATCGAAGCGACAAAAGGGGTGAATCTTAGTGGATCGTGGCAGCAAGGCCACTCTGCCACTTACAATACCCCATCATGAATTTAAGTCATCTGCAAAGGATTCTACCTGTCGCTCGGTGGGAATTGAGCTCCAAGGAGGCCTGCGAGGCTCGTCTGCTATGAGGGCTGCACCTATGGCACGTGCCC